GTCCTCAATCTGATAACCCGCGTGAGTATAGACAAAATTCCTTACCAATACACTTGATAGCTTTTGTGCAACAAGCATGTTGCTTGCTTAATCACAGCATGTTGCAGTGGTCAGAGAAACCTAAAGAAATAGAATTCCCAATAACCAGATGAGCCATAAGCAGCAAGCATATTTCAAGAACAATTAGATGGCCTTAAACAACAGCTTAAACATTAGCTTCTTGCTGTTGCAAGTTTACCTGGATACCAGCACTTGCAGTAACAACCAATAGCTTAAAGCAACAAGCAGGTCTAGCAACAAACATGATACTGACACTAGATAAGCCTTAACAAGCAAGCAAAATCCCAATAGCTTTAAAGCAAAGACTTTTTGAAATGGCATAGACTGGGGCAGCATGCCCTTACAGAAGAAGAGAAGCAGCGAAATATCTTCTTTAATAAGCAGCTGAGAAGAGCAGCATGCCCCTTTAATGCAGTACAGCATAAGGTCAGTACTCGAAATTTAGGCAACAAGCATGTTGCCCTTATCCAGATAAACGTTTGCATTAATAACCTTAGTAGCAAAATCTACATACTGCGCGTTAAGTATCAAACACGTTACCGATACACTAGATAGCTTTAAGCAACAGCATATCACTGACTAAAACACAGCATGTTGGAAATAATAGTCGGATAAGTTAATGAAACCGCATTCCCAATACTAGATGAACCTGAAGCAGCAAGCCTATTTCATATCAGACAGCCTTAACCAACAGATTTAAAACAAGGCTCGCTGTGGTAAGTTTAACTGGGTAATGTTACCAGCGTGTCAAAATACGACAGCATGCCTAGCAAACATGTTACTGAACAACTAGCCTTAAACAATGAGCAATATTTGACGATAGCATATTTGCCAACATAGCATTAGGCAATGAGAATGAAATAAGAAAATTAGCTTAGCTTCGTGAAGACATTCAGAGATGAAAAAAGGGTCATAATTTGACCCCGATCGTTCGGGGGTGCAAATTGGGCATAAAATTGGCCTTAAAATCTTCAAGTGTTTGGCCAGCCTTATCTGACACACTCAGGCTGCAATTACACTTGGCATTAACATGCGACCTGTATCCGTATGTTGTCCACATACACACTGAAAAGACAAGTGTAAAAGCGCTTCTGATCGGAATGTTATCCTTGAAAAAAGGGTCAAATGGCCAGTTGTTACGTGGATGCTTTAACGCTTCTTCATATCTTGCTTCTTCCAGCCTGGAAAGCTGATCTCGTGTTAGAGTGTTGTTGATGCAGTCACATTAGCACAACTTCAGCGATGAATTGCGGGCAAAGAGTCTGTCAATTGTGAGAAGCAGTTGCTCGCTCAGGTCAATTGCAAGTCTATCGGCTTATCAATCAATCAACGTGGCGAGTTCGCTTTCAAGTTCACAAACTTAAATCTGGTGATATACTCTGTGGGAAACGAACCCTTGTCGCAAAATTCCTTATTGAACGCTTCCTATAGAGGTGGAATTCGCCGTCTGATTAGCTCCTGAGCAAAGCGATAGCTGCTGAATAATGACTGAAAGGACCTTATAAAGGGAATTATGATTGGCGTCGTATCCCTATAGGTAGACGTGGATCAGCTGAGTGTCAGCTGTTGCGAGCTTGACTAACGTGACCTGCCAGAACTAATTCTACGCTCCGTTTCTGTCATTCATGCATAGCCAATACATACAGGCCTACTGAAATGTTTATTCTATGACTGTCAATTTAACACGTTAATCTAATGAATTAGTTATGGAAAAAAATGTGTTCACATTTTTAATGCAATTAACGCACACGCCCCGCCCCTGCCCCACATGCGTTATCTTACATTTTATAAGGTGTGTTCGACTTGAAGAAGCGCTGCTCAGTCCGATCAGTTTATGACATCAAAGTAATGGGATTTGAAAGCATGCAGAGCCATGTGCTTTTTCTATAGCTCTTGCAGTACTTAGATGTCATACACCATAACACCAATCAGTCTGCGCAGCTCAACATCTCAGTGCGTAATATATATATATATATTTTGTCCCTAATAGCATGAGTGCAAATGTGATGTTGATTTTATACAACAGTTCAATAAATAAGAATTTAAAATTGTGTTATATTTTAGACACAATATTGTCTGTATTTGCGGAGTTTTGCCAACGCAAATATTAAAGCCACAGCAGAACTGTTTTACATCTCCAAGCAACACAATTTCTGAACGAATCTGCATTTTGAACGAACGAACGAATTATTGACTCAATGACTTATTCATTATTACAATGGTTCTTAATCCTGGTCCTGGGGACCCCCGCTCTGCACGTTTTCTATGTCTCCCTTAGACCTGGGACACGCTAGACTATTTTCAAATCCATGGGAGACCACAGACATGAAGACAGTTTCAACCGATTTTTAGGCTTATAGTCTTCTGAACGCGCACATTAGATAATTTGACCCCGATCGTTCGGGGGTGCAAATTGGGCATAAAATTGGCCTTAAAATCTTCAAGTGTTTGGCCAGCCTTATCTGACACACTCAGGCTGCAATTACACTTGGCATTAACATGCGACCTGTATCCGTATGTTGTCCACATACACACTGAAAAGACAAGTGTAAAAGCGCTTCTGATCGGAATGTTATCCTATCAGCGTGTCCTGGTCCAGAGGTAGTCGAGGACGCATTGTGATCGGATCTCAGTGTAATGTAAACGCAATCCAGCCAACATGTCTGGATTCGCAAGTCGTCATCACGCAAAACCCCGCCCCCTCTCTCCCGAACTGTCAGAAGGATACAGAACAACAGAGCAACAACAGAACCTGAATTCACACATCTGAATTATCACGCACCTGCAGTTGTCGCGCCGCAACAGGCGACAAAGCGACTGTTGCAAATCATTTGAACTTTGTGTCAGTACGTCATGAACAGAACGAGGCAACAGTTTACTGTCGGGGATTTGTCGCGCTGCGCCACATCTAGTGTAGAGAGCATCACTAATTATAATAGGTTCTATAGTATTTTGTCATGTCCGGTGTAGATTTATAAGTGTAAGTAAGACTTATTTAAATATTGCGCGGGAAAGAGAGATCCGATCAGTTATCCAGGTTATCAAAGTGTAAACGCGCCGTGTCCTGATTGACTGATCGGATCACGGTGATCGCATGTTAATGCCAAGTGTAAACGCAGCCTCAGTTCAGTTCATGGAGCTCTTCTAACCAGCTGATGATCTGAAACAGGTGTGTTAAATAAGGGAGACATGCAAAATGTGCATTAAGACATTTACTGCCACCTACTGGCAGTTTTAGTTTGTCATTTAGAGTATAATTTCATTGATTATTATTTTTCATATTTACACATTAATAAAAAATCGGAAAAAATCCATATTAATAAAAACAATTATTACCCAAAATTATTCACCCAAAAAAGAAACATGAAAAGAAAATGTAGAAAAAATGAAAATGAAATATTGGTAACACTTTCTATGAAGCCCATTTTTATAACACATTATAAGGATATTCTTAAGGCATTATAATGAATGCATAATGTATTATAAAAAACCTTATAATATGTTGTTTTATCTCATAAATAATCATAACTATTATAATACATTATAAAACTTACTTATTTGTGGTTATAACTTTTATGAGTATGATTATTTATGAAAGTGAAGTGACATGTGGCCAAGTATGGTTACCCATACTCGTAATTTGTGCTCTGCATTTAACCCATCCAAGTGCACACACACAGTAGTGAACACACACACACCGTGAACACACACCCGGAGCAGTGGGCAGCCATCTTTGCTGCGGCGCCCAGTAAAGCAGTTGGGGGTTCGGTGCCTTGCGCAAGGGTCTCACCTCAGTCGTGGTATTGAAGGTAGAAGAGAGAGCTGGTCATTCACTCCCCCACTTACAATCCCTGCCAGACCTGAGACTCGAACCCACAACCTTCGGGTTACAAGTGTTGTTATTTATAAGTGGTCTTTGTCTGCTTTAAGTAAAGTAACAAGTTAACAATGGCAAGATATGTGACTTATAATACATTATAACTATGGGAAATATAATCCATTGTAAGTTAAGTGAATGCATTGTGTTCATTGTGTGTTATAAATCATCATACTCTTAAAAGCTATAACCACAAATAAATAAATATTATAATGCATTAAAACGGTTGTTATGATTACTCATGAGATGATACAACATAATATAAGGTTTTTTATAGTACATTATGCATTCATTATAACGCCTTAAGAATACTCTTATAATGTATTATAAATACGGGCTTCATAGAAAGTGTTACCAAAATATTTCTTTCTAAAGCTACTTTTGGTAATATCTGTTTCATGCTTTTCTTGTCAAATTTACTAGATTAAGCCCTAATGTATGACAGTTCATAAAATAGAGTTCATGTAATTTGGTTCAGGATCTTGAGAAATGATATAATAATGTCAGAACTGCTCATTTTTGCAGTCCCCTGTGGTGAAAAGATACCACACTGTGACTATGTGTATCCACCACGGTACAGGGCCATCTGTTGTCCATGTGTGTTCACATAGCATATATGATTTCATGTTTAGTAATACATATGTAATACATTAATATCCAATAATACACACATAAGGCTCAAAATAAAAAAACAAACAAACCATTATTTCATGCTATACTACAAACATTTTTTGAATTCCATATAAGTACAGTGAAACACTGAAATTGAATCAGTTAACAGAAGGATTTTTTTTTTTCTCAAATGGTCGGTTTACAAGACAGCTCAGCTGACAATTAGTTGCTTAGAAGCAATAGAGCAATTGTCTATGACAATAGAGTATGCACTTACTTATAAAAAGTGCAAGACAGAACTTGTTTGTACCTCTACTTCCTGTTTGAGGTCTTTCAGTTAAATTTTTTCAGCAGAGCACATCATGGTGTGTTGTGGTTTGGCACAGTATATGCTGGAAATGTAGGGTGTGTTGTGTTCTCACATGCTTAAACACTCGTATTTATGTGTTGCTTTCTACAGATGGCCGGCCTCTGTATATCCTACGCCTCGGACATATGGACACTAAAGGACTGGTTCGAGCACTTGGAGAAGAATCCCTGCTCAGACATGTAAGAGATTCAATAATCTACATTTTCCATCATGCTCTCTGGTGTATTCAATTCATATGAATTCAAATGAATAGTGCATAGTCTAACAGCATATATGAATTTTAAGGTGCTGTCAATCAATGAAGAGGGTCTGAGACGCTGTGAGGAGAACACCAAAGTATTTGTTCGGCCAATTAGGTACTGACAGGACTGACAGATTCTTCTTTGGCAACCCAGAGGCCCCTAAAAATTTGTTTGTATTCACATTTTCTCATCCTAGTTGTTGGACATGTCTTGTCGATCTTGAGGGGCTCAATATGAGGCATCTGTGGCGTCCTGGAGTCAAAGCTCTGCTGAGGATTATTGAGGTGGTGGAGGCCAATTACCCAGAGACACTAGGTCGTCTACTCATCCTCAGAGCTCCCAGAGTCTTTCCTGTCCTGTGGACGCTGGTTAGAGACACCGCTTTTTGCTTTTGCTTTTCAATTGTTCTTCTCTGCTAAAATCTAGAGATGGGAATGGCATTTTAACATGACATGCCATATTTATTTGTTCAAGTTATTAACCCTCTTATATTCGCTGTCCTTTATAAAAATAATTGCATAAAGTTATGTCTCATTTACGAAGTGAATGAGTCACCCAGTTTAAACTCTTAGTAGCCTGATTTAACTCAAAGGAAGCATATTATGTATGTATCAACTGTGCTTTTCTTCTCTTATCTCTTCACAGGTCAGCCCTTTCATTGATGAGAATACACGAAAGAAGTTTCTGATCTATGCAGGAAATGACTACCAGGGCCCTGGCGGTCTTGTGGACTACATTGATAAAGAGATCATCCCTGACTTCCTTGGAGGAGAGTGTATGGTGTGTAATTTTATTTTCACTATGTTTTGCGACTGAATGGTGTCTATTCACTTGCGTAATATAGAAAAACTTGCTCCAAGTAAGATCTGTATGCATGTATTCAAACTTGGGTATTATGTGTCTCGCCTTAGTATATGGTTTTAGTGGCTTATTGAACTGAAGTTATGGCACTTTGAAATATGTGCAGTGTGAAGTGCCAGAGGGTGGCTTGGTTCCCAAGTCTCTGTACAGAACTGCAGAAGAACTGGAGAATGATGAGATCAGGCTGTGGACGGAGACTATTTACCAGAGTGCCAGCATCTTCAAAGGAGCGCCACATGAGGTCAGACTTATGCATTAGAAACAAAACTATATATACAGCACGAGTTTTGTTTTGTTTAGTGCATTTGCAAAGTGTGAACACACAATTTATGATTTATTTGTTTACAAAAACCTGATTTCAATCAGGAAAAAAAAATGTGTGTTTTTTTTTTTTTAATAGCAGAATACCACCTGGACAGCAATGAAACTACAGTTTTAGTTAAAGAACAATTTCCTTTTTTATATCTCCCCCTTCAGCTACTGATTGAGATCATTGATGCCTCCTCAGTCATCACTTGGGACTTTGATGTATGTAAAGGTGATGTGATCTTCAATATCTACCACTCTAAACGAGCTCCACAGCCGCCAAGGAAAGATCCGCTGGCTACCCATGGCATCACCTCTCCCGCAGGCAACAACGTGCAGCTTATAGATAAATCCTGGCTGCTGGGACAGGACTACAGCATGGTGGAGTCACCCCTCACCTGCAAAGAGGGAGAAAGTGTGCAGGTATGTCAGTTACAACCAGCATCCAGTTTTATGCTGATAAAGATGCCATAGTAAAAGTTTATAGTGGTCATACCATACTTTGCTTCTGTACATTTAAGACAGTGTAAATGCCCTCTTTGCATGTGTGAGAGAGAGTTAAGGGTTGTCTTGATAATTGCATTTCATGTTTATTTTTTTTTTCCTTCTCTTGTTTTAACCACTCTGCCAACATATGTATACACCCTTTAGGGTTCACATGTGACACGGTGGCCAGGTTTCTATATTTTGCAATGGAAGTTCCACTCTATGCCAGCATGCGCCACCACAAACCTACCTCGGGTGGACGACGTTCTGGCTACTCTGCAGGTGTCCTCTCACAAGTGCAAAGTCATGTACTACACTGAGGTTCTGGGCTCAGAGGACTTTAGGTAAACATTCTGAACAGTACTGAATTGTGTGATATCTGTTGTTATCATTTTATCACTGCCTAGTTATTTTCATTTTAAATTTTATTTTAATCAAAATAACTTGAATGTGTGTGTTTTTTTTATGGTCATAATTCCAGCTTCTTTATTTAAACTGACTATTACATTTCTGTTTTGGTTGTGTCTTATGTTTTACCAGTATTGCTTTATTAAGCTAAATAGTTATGAGCAGTGTCCAAGCCTGCTGCTTTTTTCTCTTTCTCTCCCTTCTGCACACGACCACCATCCTTTCTGTTTCTCCTTGTAAAGAACGGCTTGCTGTGATGTGCAGAGTTTGTAAGTGAACTTGTTTGCTGTTAGCTTAACGACTGTGCTGTGCCAATGGATTGTGATTGTTAGCATTATCATCATGCTAACAAAGCTCTGTTAATTCTGTCTGCTCAAACATGCTTGGCTTGAGTTTCACCCTCTAACTCTGAATTCACTGTGTGCAGGCTGATGTACCGTATTGTCCCGAATATAAGACGATGTTTTTTTCTTGGAAATACATCTGAAAAAACGAGGTCGTCTTATATTCAGGGTCTAGACTTTGTCATGTCAATAATACACCCACAACAATAGATGGCGCCAAATACGCATAAAACGAGTGTGCCATGAAATACGTAATGTAATGCGTGTTGTAAAGAGCGCAAGTAAAAACAAAAGAAGCAGAAAACCTTAAAGCTGCATGAGTCGTGACTGTCGCGTTAGCCTGATGGCACCAAACTCCCTTTGTGATTTTAAAACGTAAGACAGTACCCAGATTTGAAGACTACAGTAAGATTTAACTTCTACTGTTAATAAGATTTTGGTAGGCTACTATTAGATGGATAGCCTAAATGTCCTAATTCAGATGGGCTACCTGTTTTTTTTTTTTTTTTTGGTATATCAAAAAGTGTATATTTTTAAAACGTGATTGTTGGTACATTTTACCAGTTTTTACCATACGTTCAAAACAAAAATTAAAATAGGAAAAATATGCAATATGAAAATAATTGAAGACAAAATGTGTTTAACTGAGAAAAAA